CGAAGTGAAAGCCACAAACCATAAAATGCCATCAGAGAAACCCCCATTACCACCCGAAGAAGAGGCGGCCGCGGCGGGGGGGGGGGGGGGGGTGAACAGCTCCTCCCAACTCACACCGCCGCCGCCGTCTCATTACCTCACCCCCCCGCCCCATCATCACCATCACACGGCAAACCAGAAGAACCATGGCACAGAATCCACCTCGGCCGAGGCATGTACCTCGACATCAAACGCCGCCTGCCCTACTACTGGTCCGACTGGACCGACGCCTGGGATTACCGTGTCGTGCCGGCGACGGTGTACATGTTTTTTGCCAACATCCTGCCCGCGTTGGCGTTCAGTCTGGACATGCTGCACAAGACGAACGGGGAGTACGGAGTGAACGAGACGCTGTTGGCTAGTGTGCTGGGGGCGGTGGTGTTTAGTGTGGGAGCGTGCCAGCCGATTGTGATTGTGGGGGTTACGGGGCCGATTACAGTTTTTAATTAGTGAGTTCTCTCTTTAGTTTCTGTGTTGTTGGTGGTGATGGGCGGAGGGGGGGCACTGATGACCTGGGGTTGGTGATAGGGAAGGGAGAGGGATGGCTAACGTGGGATGGCAGTACGGTGTATAATATCATGAAGGACTCCGGGACTTACTACCTTGGGTTCATGTGCTGGATTGGACTGTGGAGTTTGGTGTTTCATTGGGTTTTGGCGGTGACGAATTCTTGTAATTGGTATGTCTTCACCTCCGCCTTTTTTTTCTCTTTCTTTTTTTCTTTTTTTTTATTTTTTTATTTTTTTTTTTTTTTTTTTTTTGGATTATAATGATATCCAGCTGATGAAAACAAACAGGCTTAGCTATGTCACTCGCTTTCCCTGTGACATCTTTGGCTTCTACGTCGCGCTTATTTATCTCCAAAAGGGCGTTCAAATCCTCGAGACGCTCGGTGACGGCTCGCCGTTTTGGCTGTCGGTTGTTGTGTCGCTGCTTGTCTTTTGCATTGCTTATATATGTGGAGAGATTGGCACAAAATCCACGCTGTTCAAGCACTGGATTAGGGTGTTTATCAAAGACTACGGCACCCCGTTGACGGTGATTTTTTTTACGGGGTTTGCCTACATGGGCAGGATGAAGAATGTGCCTTTGGAGACGCTTCCGACAGGTGTAGCGTTTATGCCGACGGTGGAGTCGAGGGGGTGGTTTGTTCACTTTTGGGACTTGCCGATAGGGCACGTGTTTTTGGCGATTCCGTTTGCGGTTTTGTTGACGGTGTTGTTTTGGTTTGATCACAATGGTATTTAACCCTTTTTTCCCCTCTCCCTTCTCTCCCTCATCACCATCCACTGACAGTAACCTAGTATCCTCCCTCATAGCCCAAGGCTCAGAGTACCCCCTCCGCAAACCAGCCGGCTTCCACTGGGACCTCTTTCTGCTAGGCCTCACAACGGGAATCTCGGGGCTGTTGGGCCTGCCGTTTCCTAACGGTCTGATACCCCAAGCCCCTTTTCACACCGAGTCCCTCTGCGTAACAAAAGTCGTCACCTCTTCCTCTTCCTCGTCCTCTTCCTCTTTCGAGCATGGCGGCAAACCCCAACTGAAAGCAACCCACGTGGTGGAACAACGCGTCTCCAACCTCGCCCAGGGGCTGATAACACTCGTCGCTATGACGGGCCCGCTTCTGTCGGTGCTGCATCTCATCCCGCAGGGGGTTCTGGCGGGGTTGTTTTTTATTATGGGGTTCCAGGCGCTGGAGGGGAATGGGATCACGCTGAAGTTGGTGTATTTGCTTCAGGAGAGGAGGCTCAGGCCGAGGGACAGTCCGTTGAGGGGGTGTCCTGACAAGAAGATCTGGTTGTTTGTTGGGTTGGAATTGCTTGGGTTTGCGGCGACGTTTGCGATTACGCAGACGGTGGCGGCGGTGGGGTTTCCGGTTTTTATCATTTTGTTGATTCCGGTTAGGGCGGTGGTGCTGCCTAGGTGGTTGGGGGAGGGGGAGTTGGGGGTGCTGGATGGGCCGACTGCGAGTGAGTTTACGATGATTAACTGTGGGGGGAATAGCTTTGGGGGAAGGGCTGGGGGGAGTGGGAACGGGCAGAGGGATCAAGGGGGGGTTTAAAAAGGCCCCCCGGCCCGGCAGGACACGGATGGGGATCGGT